TCAGTATGTATTTCTATCAGGTGTCGTTGTTAAAATGTACTTTACGAAAAGAAAGAAAGTATACCTAGATATTCATGTTCATTTTCTGACGTTTTCACATGGAACACTTGTTTTATCCCCATATTTCGTGACCACTGTTTTATTCCATTTATTTCTAAACAAATATCTATGTTGGTATTACAGTTATTATGGTGGAGAAAAGGTTAATCAGTTGTCCACTCCGTGTCAAATATTTTTTTCAGGATAGCAGGGACCTTTATACAGGATACGGTATATGTACACTGGTATACAGCATTATATATTTCAAAGACACATTGACAAATTATATAACACCTCGCTAAAGAATTAAATTTGAATCTTAAGGTGGTCACGTACTCATAAAACATTTTTTCTTTCTGTTCTACATTCTAGCTTCACAGTCTCGCCTTGTCAATTACATAATAGTACCTGTTTATTCATATTTCCCAAACAGCATGAATGGGAGATCACGAATTGGAAGCCATTCCCTCCGTCAGTGACCAGGTCAGCAGATGGTACACAGATAGACTTGCTATGTGGTGGTTACTGCGGTGGATGTGGACCAGTTGGGGGAATCTTGCTGTTGCATCCTAACCCGAATGAGAGTAAGTAAAGGGTCACAATGTACCTGTGTGTTATGTTGTTGGTGTAAAGGGTAGTATTAAGGTCACACGTGTAAAGGATGTGATCAAAGATGTTCAATATTAATGAAAAAGATGTTTGTTGGTTGGTTGGTTGGTTGGTTGGTTGGTTGGTTGGTTGGTTGTTTAGCGCCGCACTCAGCAATATTCCAGCTATATGACGGCGGTCTGTATATAATCGAGTCTGGACCAGACAGTCCTGTGGTTGACATCATGAGCATCGATCCACGCAATTGGGATCGATGACATGCTTCAACCAAGTCAGCAAGCCTGACCACCCGATCCCGTTAGTCGCCTTTTACGACAAGCATAGTCACCTTTTACGGCAAGCATGGGTTGCGGAAGACCTATTCTACCCCGGAATCTTCACGGGTCTGTACAACATGCTAAAACAGAATGCTTTCTGACCTCTTAGGTCAACTTTCTACTTAGGATCCTGAATGTTTTCTTGACTAGTATATATTAACGGAAAACAATAACTGTGCTTCATATAATGTTCAATGAATACCTCTTCTCGACTTAAGATCGTGATTCACATTTTGCACGTGCATGTTGCTGCACGGCGCACAAGTTGGATGTTTGTGTGTTCGTTGGGTACATTCATACACGTGGTTTCTTCATGTGAACATCACACAATGATTGTTTAGCCATCAGATGCTCATAAACATATCTTTGTTAAATGGTACATGATGCTTACGCAATGCCACGGCTTGCCGTAAATCAACGCCACCTGCAACAAACTACAAATTGTGCAAAACAAGGTGGCCAGAGGTTTGTATTCATCGAAACTGAATCTCACCTATTTGGAGACGTTTTCCAAAGCATGGCAACAATATTCGGTTGATGCATTAACAGAATCGATACTAAACTGCCACGTTAGCAGCTCACAATTCATGGATTGAGACGAATTAGTGGGAGAATCGTACACAACCGGTTGAGGGATCACAACACCCGGCCTCGCCGTCCACCGACACGTCTTTTTCTGCTTACATGTCACTGTCAGGCATCTGTTCACAGATGAGTTGAGGTTTTATCCTGACGTACAGGCGGCCAGGAAAACGTTTAAGCGACGCCTGTGTTACTCAACGTCGTCAGTTTGGGGGTGGCAGTGAAATTGTATGGGATGTCATCCCAACTCACGGGAACACTACTCCTCATTGTTAATATCAATTTGAATGGCGTACGCTACCGCCACGACGGTGCAAGGTCGTTGTCTACTCTATGTGCAAATACAGGGACGTAACGTCATGTTGCAGCAAGATAATGCCCGCCCACATGCTGCACGTGTTATAACTTTGCTGTACTTCAATGGCCGGCTGTTTATTCAGACCTCTCCCTAATAGAACATATCTGAGATTTGGTGGAGCGACGCCTACTACACGAACAGAACCAGTCGGTAACGCTGTTTTTGTTGACACGTGAAACAACATACCCCAGGCTGTTTCAATCATCTGGTGTCTTCAATGCACCGCCTGTAACAACGCAAAAGGTAGTCACGCCCGACATTGACATTGTTGATAAAGTACACAACCTCTCGTTCAGGGCGTGTCTCCTGTTACCAGGTATGGATTTCATCAATGAATTTGTTTTGATAAAAAAATGATCAGACGATTGTCCAAATATTATGTTGTCATTATCAGTAACATAACAGTTACACCACTTTATATGAAGCACTGTTATTTTTTCCGTAACTATACATAAAAAATTAAAAACGACACAAATGCTTCCAGCTACTTTACTAAGGAAGTATTCCTTAGTAATGATCACTGGTTACAAATTAAAAAAACAGTATGTTGCTACCATCAGAAGAAGGTCATATGATCTTTCTACCTAATGACATCATGTCGGTAAACATGACCCGTGAAGATACGGGGTAGAATAGTTCTTCAGCAACCCATGCTTGCCGTAAAAGGTGACTATGCTTGTCGTAAAAGGCGACTAACGGGATCGGGTGGTCAGGCTCGCTGACTTGGTTGAGGAACGGTCATCGAACCCAATTGCGTGGATCAATGCGCATGATATCAATCACTGGATTGTCTGGTCCAGACTCGATTATTTACAGACCGCCGTCATATAGCTGGAATATTGCTGAGTGTGGCGTTAAACAACAAACCAACCAACCAACATGCACTGTTCTGCACGATTATATAGTCACATTTTGAGTGTGTGTAATGCGGTATGCAAAAGAATGTATTACCCACGTGGGGAAGTTACATGTGGTAAGATACTAAATCCGTACGTCACACGTTTGTCGTACAAGGTTGACCTCGTTGTATTCGTTTTGATTGGATAGCCGTGACCTCTGTCACACCGGAACTTTTTTTTGTCATTCATAAGATATCGCGAGACGTCATTCCCTTTTGCAACTACAAGGCAGAGCTGAGGCAATTTCATTAAAGCGACAGATATTTACAAAAGACTTTATTAAACCAAACAACGTAGTACCACGCATAAAATTCGATTTGCATTCTATATTACTTAGGCATAGAGGTACTACAGACATAATATAATATAGCGATATCCATTATTTTGCAGTGTACGACTACCGATCGATAGATCGAGGGTCCCTACATATGAGCGTGATGCACCCGACCAATTTCACCACTTTCAATTTGATTTAACGTAAAAGGATAAGCGTGGTGAAATGAAGTCAGTTTAAACCATCTGGACATATATCTAGACTTACGTTGGATGCTCCAGTGCGTATTTTGTGGCACTGTTTCGGGAGGTGTTTGTTCCTGAATGAACGTACACGACCGCAAGAAAAACGAACAGTTCCTATACAAATCATTCGAAAGTTCCGTGAAAGTGTGTCTGACTTCTGATTTTGTGGCCCAAAACATCAATGTGAACAATAACATTCCCTATCTCTAGTGGAACACCTTGATTTCCCTCTTCCAAAATGTTACGGACTGGATATAACTTCAGCTGATAGATCAAGGAAACAAAACCATTTTGATTGTACAGCCGTGACCCCAGTGGTGCGAATGACCGACTGTTGGTCCGATTTTCAAAGCTCGGCGCTAAGTGACTTTTTAACTTTTCTTATAAGTGTCCTGCGTACAAACAACAATGTGCTTGAAATACCATAAGTTGAAATAAGAATATTTTTTTTAAAAGTACTTGAGCGCCAGGGCTGGTATGTTTGTACACACAACAGCAGTAAAAAGGTTGTTAATGTGTATGCATAGAAATGTCAACATAATGCCAATATTTAGACATATATCAATATTCATGCGCAACCAGATTTTGCAACTAGTTTCAGATTGGTCTGATTCCGAACGAAAGTTGTTTTGTATTTTTTTCACTTAAATACATTTTTAACGTGGGTAATAAATAAAATACCACACTCATTCTCGTTAGATACCATTTTTTCGCTCGGTCAAATACCATAGAAAGTCCATTCGTTTCATGAAAATGGTATCTAACGAGAATGAGAGTAATATTCTCTGTGAATTCCATTTCTCTTGCATCTTAAAAAGACAGTTATCTGCACTTACTCCAGTCTAATGACATGAACCTTCCTGTCAGCCAAGACCTGCAGGCGGTTTCATAATTGCCATAGATTGGGTTTGGGATTACAAATACAGTACCATACTGTTAATGAAGTTTGTATCATATTGTTAACAGATCGTTCAAAGTGTGTATGAGATTGACATTTTACATGGCCTTAGACGTATTTTACAGGATTTGAAATAGTTATTAATAGTTCATCTTCATTGATTGAACAATGATTGCATAAATGTCCATTTTGAGCCATGCTACAAATTCAGAGCTCTGGTAACCAAACAGTTAATCGAGACCCGAGGTATCTTCAATATGAAGGTTCATCAAATTTCAGTCGGAAATACATATTCAAGTTTTTCTTGATGCCAAGTTGACACTTAGTGACCTTGATCTTCCATGTCACCCCAGCATTAGTCTGTGTTATAATGAGATATATCAAGTATGAACTCTGTTATATACCGGGTTGAGACAATCAATTACGATGACAGCGTCAAACTCAAGCAATAGACACCAATTATTTCAACGCACAGCAGGGAACGCTTTATTCTTCAGCTCAAATGTATTAAAGGAAAATAATTTATGAGTTATATGTGAAGGTATACTGGTGAACAGTTATGCACACAGCAACAGGTGTTTATCTGGCGTGGAGCGTTCATTTTAGACAAGGCATCCAGTAATCAATGCTTGTCATGAGAGGGACTAAATGGACGGGTTGTCTGTCTTGGCGATCTGGTTGATTGCCTGTCCCCATTGTGTGGGGTGTTGTTCATAATAACATATTTTACATTATCTAAAACAGATTTTACTTGATAGCTCATTTTGTTTACCTTTCAGACCTTCCACCAGAAGATGCTGGGTCCCTGTATTTCAAATAATAGGATCACCCATTGCAATAGGTGGAGTTGTCAAGGAAGATTGGATATAAATCACCACAGAAACGAAGGGTCCTTTCCAAATGTCCTAATTCTTAATAAATTGTAATACGATATCCATATGACATGGGCTTGCAATATACATTTCATTTGGTCGACACATCAGCACTTATTTATCCAGGTTTTGGAATACAGTCAAGTCCCGTTAATCCTACATCGACGGTTGCATATGATTATGTCGGATTAGCGAAAGGTTGTTCTGACGTGACTTGAAATGGGATGTCCTCGTCGATAGCGAGAACTTGTATCTGATTTTAATAAGATTGAGGTAATCTAAGCATGTGAATTATCCTGTTTTCTTTATTTAAAGCATTAATTGTTTATTGTTAAGAAAGTTATCTCTGCAGCCGTTGTAATATGCAGCTACCAGCCGATTCGTCTCGCATCAAAACACGGGCTGTGTACTTGCGGGCAGATGACCACGGAGTACGCTGATCACTGTGTCACTAACGAGACTGATTAATGAGTGATTTCGGTAATTCGTTGCAAATTAGGTGTGTCGGAGTCGGAGTGCGAGAATGTCGGATTAATGGGTCTAAATAGCACTGATTTAATCGGTTCCCATCATTAGTTTCGGATAAAGCCGATTGTCGGATTAACGAGTGTCGGATTAACGAGACTTGACTGTATACGAATATTCAATTAACTATGAACATATATTACATTCTTGTCAAATTGCAAGACTGAGGGAGCTGGACTCCGGCATGTATATTTCTTTCCTTATGATGATATATTTTGTTTAAATCATCAGATTTTTGTTTTAGGTTTTTGTCCTCAGTGATTATGTAGAATATGTCTGAATAGTCATACTTACAGCAACTCCTTTTTAATGATACTTGAAATTGTTGACTACATGACCAGGTGAGCTTCCGTTCGCACTTTTTTTCAACACTTCTAGTGGTGTTGGGTAAGGATTAAGCTTTCACCGTTATTATCCCCCGCCTTGATCAAACTTCGCACAGATATCAGCATAGCCATAAACTAGTGCCTTTTGCTATTTAGGATTTGTTTTAATTTATGTTTTCCGGTTTTCTTGACAACAATTTTACTTAGGTTCAAATAAGGAAAGAATTTCGGGAGCATTAGTTAAAGACAGTTCAAACGGTGCTTTTTGTTTTTCAGGAAATTTTGGACAATTGTATTTATTCCGGTTTCAGCCAATATAAGGCTCATTTCCAAAGCATTTATGGTTTTCCCCACCGAGCGCTCCAGAGCACAACTCATAACTCATTAACCATTTGCGTTTCCTAATTTTCCCCCAACTCTACGCATACGTTTTAATTGCAACCTTATAAGTATTTATCAGCTATCATACCTGTAGACCCGTGAAGATCCGGTGTAGAATAGGTCTTCAGCAACCCATGCTGGCCGTAAAAGGCGACCACGCTTGTCGTTGGAGGCGACTAACGGGATCGGGTGGCCAGGCTCGCTGGACTTGGTTGAAGCATGTCATCGATCCCAATTTCGTATGGTGGCCTACCTTTAATTGCTGGCGATCCCTAGCCCCGTTTTTATAATGTATTGTTATTTATGGTGATATCTTTTGTATGGTTGAATACCAGTTTTAAAATATACATCTGTGATAATCTAGTTATTTTACTGTCCTTTGATGACAGGTTTTATAATTACATTGTATGTATTATTACTGTCTAACTTGATTTAGTCACGAGGGCGGTCGGGTAGCCCAGTGGTAAAGGGGTTCGCTCGTCACGCCGAAGACCCCGGGTCGATTCCCGACATGGGTACAATGTGTGAAGCCGATTTCTGGTGTCTCCCGTCGTGATATTGCTGGAATATTGCTAAAAACGGCGTAAAACCATACTCACTCACTCTTTAGCTTGTGGTTTGACGTGAAATGGTTTTGATATACGGAGTCTATTTATTCAAAATATCAAGGAACAAGACGCCATGAATTTGAGCATTTATATGAAGACGTTGTTAGTTTGTCTGTGTATTTATTTATTTGTTGCTAAACGCCGCATTCAGCATCTTCAAGCAATATGCCGGCGATCACCCATTACTTCAATGCCAGAGAATGATCAGTCTTGAGTACCCGTCGACACAGATTCCATGGGGCGTAAAACGCAAAATAGCAGTGAAAAGTATATGAATGGATCACTGAAAATCAGTGAAAACACGAGGTGTGCACGATATGGGTGAGCATGCCCTGTCCTACCGGTAGCAACCGCCACTAACACAATTTGCAAATAAAGAAAGTATGATAATACCTGGTCTATTATGCTTGTGAAACAATACTATTCAACAACAACATTTTTTTATCTTTGACATATTCTAACGATGACCAATTTTCAAACGCGGTATAGTGTCTTTGTCTCTGCTTGAATATCTAAAAGGAGAAACTGTAGAAAATGGAAAGAATAAACACACTGTTAAAATGAAAGGGAAGCTCTATTTTCAGGAAAAAGTATGTCTTAAGGAGAGGATAATATTTTGTTTTCCTTCAATATTTTTAGCAATATATGTGCTCGGTATTTACAGATTAATGCTTGAATTAGGATCGGAATTCTGTTCTTCATTGTCAGAAACACAATAGCTGGGATGATTCATGCAACGTTTCAGCTTTATAGGCCTTGCAGTTTCAAAGATGTCGAAATACGGAAATGAACGTCGGACAGACGTACCATGTCAAAGGCTTACTTGATTTTCAGTCAGGTGAGCTATGAAATTAAGAATCTTTAGAAATCATATAGAGTGTATCGCCATCCTTATTAAACACAAGTACATTTAAATCTTTTAGTAAAACGTAGGGAGTTTTGTGTTATGTGTTTCTCAACACTAACAATATTATACAAGAACGATGATGACAGTAGATCAGCACTGTCATCAATATATCCACGAAGTGCAGGCCATCGGCCAGTTACATGATGCAACAGTGCTGCAGCCAATTTTTACATGTCTTTTCTCAAATTATTGGCATAGAAAGATAAAATTCCCATATGCCTTACAATATCTGAGTTATTCCACAGACATTAACATGTTACTATTTATGTAATCTATGAAATACATGTATATATACTGCACCGCAAAAGAAACGTCAGTATGGATAGATATATAGAAACCGTATTTGTCAAAACACTGTAAAAGTACTTTGAGACATATTAAAAAGATGAAACTTGGCAAAACTGATCATCAAGGTTGAAATCAAAGTGTCAAATGTTCTTAAAGTGAAACACAAGACTAGTTTCTGATAAAATGGCATCACAAGTCAGTATCTCGTGTGTCCGCCATGTGCATTGATGACTGCCGTGCAACGTCGATACATGGACGAAGGCCATAGGCACTTGAGCCCACAGTCTGAGCAAAGCCTGACGCAGTTCCGCTGCAGTTGTCGGCCTTGGCCGGACGTCATTAGCCGTCTTTGAATCTCGTCTCACAGGTGCTCAATGGAATTTAAATCGGGACTGAGGGCAGACCACTGCATTGTTCTGATGCCAGTCTGCTGGAGGAAGTCTCTTGTTGCTCTCGCAGTGTGGGAACAGGCGTTATCATGCTGCAACTCGTGGTTACGGCGACGCGCCAAATGAGGTATGGCGTGTGGTCTCAAGACGTGATCAAATGTACCGAGCTGATGTGACGCTATTGTCTCTCCCTGGACCGATGTTCTGGACGACCACAGGGCCGACCCTCTGTGCAAGACCAACTTCACGCCACACCATGATGCTCGGACCACCCCACGAGTCTCTCCCAACACAAGCATCCGAATAACGTTCCCCACGGCGTCGCCAGACATACTGCCATCTGCTGTTGAGATACAGTAACTGCTGTCGTCTGAGAAGAGGACTCTTCTCCACTGCTGGTGGCGCCAATGCTGGTGCTGTGTTGCCCACTGAAGACGGTCCCGGCGATGACGTGGTGTCAGAATGGGTCCTCCGTGTGGCCTGTGACAGTGGAGGTGTCTGCTCGTCAATCGTCGACACACGGTATCAGCACTAATGTGTCGCTGGTGTGTCCCCATGGTATGTCGAGCAGTTTCCGCAGCAGTAACAAAGCGATCTTGAAGATGCTGTCGCACAATCTGACGATCCTGACGTCCGGGGGTGACCCTTGGTCTTCCACTACGTGGTCGGTCATCTGTGGTGTTGTTGGTCTGGTGCCGTTGCTGGAGCCTGTATATGGTCCTTACGTGGACTTGAAATGCGTTGGCTACTTGTCGTGCGGTTTGACCAACTTGCAATTGTACAAGGGCTTGGTGTCGCTGATTTCTTGTCAATCTTGGCATGTGGTAGCAATTCAATAGCGAATGAATGTTATCCGATCTGGATGTTTTTTATAGGGCAAGAAATGGGGGAACGCATGTGTATTTCAATTTGCACGGAACTCATGTGCATCAGGTTACCATGGCCGTTGCCGTAATGTGTTTGGGCAATCGGTTTTATGGTCATCTGCTTTGGGGGGTTTTATCATCAAATTTAATTTTTCCGGACAAGGTAATGTTAAATTATAGAAACTTTGACTAAAATTACCCAGATATTTAAATGGCAACTTTTCATGCAATGTTACTGGGGGTGACGTTTCTTTTGCGGTTCAGTATAATATGTGGGGGTAACATACAATTGACACAAGTGCTCTACGGATATATACTACATAGAAATAGAACCTAATGTTCACTTTTAATATATCGACAGGAACCCGTGTCACAGAGTCTTTGGCTGCTAGGCATGCCAAGTGTCTATTTTTATATGATATGAGCTTACCAAAGCCACACGCAATTTGTTCATAGTGATAAAGCCAATATATGTTTCAACCCCCCCAGAAATGTGTTTATATAGAGAGTACGAAAACATTTTAAAGCCTAGAGATAGGGAGTCATGCCAATCCTACTGACACATGTATTGTCATCTAGCCAAACAAAACAAGATAATCTGCACTGACAATAGACTGGTCTTCCCAGACAAAAAAATCAAATACCATTTTATATGTTAATTAATTTAACTTTGAAACCCACTTTATTTTCCATTGCTGACATCCAATGATAATAAATTATAACATTTTGTGTGAAAACTTCAAGTTGGCATACACAACAACTTATACTGTTTTTTTATATAACGCTAAAAAAGCAAATGCATAATATGGGATATCTTCCACATTCACCAAGGACAATATGGCTGGGTGAGGATAGTGTTAGTGTTAGTGTTAGTGCTAGTGTTAGTGTTAGTGTGTGTCGTTTCCAATATCTGAACGACATAAATATAAATATATGAAATTGATTTG